AGGAAGGCAGAGGAGTCAGTGCTACACTGTATTGTAAACAGAAAATTCTCTTTTCTCCAGTATTAGTGAGCTGAAGATGGAAGAAACATGTCAGTTTTCAACTCTCTGTTAGTTGCCAAGGCGTGTAGGTTTAATTTAGCTTTTTGTGAAGTCATTTCTGAAGGGTCACATTTATTCCAGTTGTTATAAAAGTTGCAATTCAAGGCTGTGTTGGGAAGACCTTGTCCTTAACTACTTTTCATTATTAAAGAAAACTTGAAGCTTATCTTCACATTACGCTTCAGCAATGATTATGTGTATTTCCACTGAACTCAGCATATTGTGCTTTGCTCCCTCCTGCCCACTACCCTCTTGTCTTTTTTACTGTGCTTGTTGCTTCATTCCTGTTCTGCTCTCCTACACCAGAGCCTCAGATATCCCAGGAAATCTGTCCTCTATTTTCACTGTTGGGAAGACTGTGGCAGTTCATCTCCTAGTGCTCAGAAGAAAAGCAGAATGAAACTGAATTAGACCAAGAGTCCGTCTAGCCCAGTATCCTGTCTCTGACAGCAGCAGAGAGGGAGGAGTGTAAGAGCATGTGTAACATCTCCAGAGAGTACTCTTCTAGTCTCCAAACCACTTGCAGCCTGGGGACTTCCTCAGCTGCATGTGGTTTCAGTGTGTTCTGCCCTCCACAGCTCTCTTCCTTGAATTTGTCCTGTCCCCTCCCAAGCCCGTGCTGGTTGTTGGCTTCCATCACATGTGAGGAGTTCCACACCAGGACTGTCTACTGCATGAAAAACAGGCTCCCCAGCTTTGCCCTGAACCCAAGTCCTGCTAGCTTTGGTGTTTGTTCAGCAAAGCTTTGTTTAGGATGGGGGGTGGGAGGAATGAGGAGGCTTTTCTTGAGCTGCATTTTTATTTAGAAATTTTTTTTCTTCAAAGGCAATTCCAGTGAAAAATTCTGTTGCCAAAATTGAGATGAAATGAGATGTTCTGAGGTTGTTTCTTGCATTCTTCTCTTCTTTCTTCCCTTCCCTCACAAGACTTCTTTCCTATAACTGCATATCTCTAGCCGTTCCTGTGTATTTCTTCTGAAGGTTGGTATGGTGTTTTTCAGAATACTTGCACAGCAACTGAAAATCCTCCAACCCTGAGCACATGGGGATTACATCCCCAGTTGGGCAAATTAGTTAAGCACGTGCTCAGGGTTGGAGGATTTTCAGTTGTTATGCAAGTATTCTCCATCCAAGAACCTCCATCCTGCAAATCGGTGTGCTTGTGTAAGCAGTCCTGCTTAATTGTTTAAGTGCTTGGACTCAAGTGGTTAAGTGTGAGGCCCCTAAGTGCATTTCTTCTACAAAAAAAAAGAATTACCGATTCAGAGTTCATGGTTATGTTTGCTTACAGTGCCAATACTGGAAGAAACTATTCCTTGTGTTATTGCAGGGCTGGGTAATCCTGAAAGCTCGTTAGCGTCTCTCTAACTTTGTATCTTAGTTTATGCTTTGCAGGAGCAAACCTGATACTGGAGGAAGTATAGCACAGGCTGTCTCTGCCTGTGGGTCTGGGAAGTTGTGGGTGACTTCTGTTCCAGTTTCTGCCACTGTCTGTCAGTATGAGTGTGAGCAAATGGCTTCCTCTGTATCAATTGTGGTCACATAACTGCGTCGATAGGAGGAAGAGAAGAGGGAATTTTTTTAGAAAAAGTTTTGCAGATTATTTGTGGAAAGTACCACACAGACTCTGGACAGCAGTCTGTATGTATGTGCTTTTGACATGCTCAGTGGAATTTTTTTCTAAGTCACCAGTACACTTGTATGGCTCTGAAAGATGAACTGTGTCATGGAGAAATGATCCTAGTTTATATTAGAAACGTGGACCTTGGTGCATAATAGGCAGCTAACTTAAAATAAGATGTAATTTTAATTTTTGAAAATTTATGCTCTTTGTTCCCTATTTTTTCTTAAGATTAGAAAGTAAATTGACTTTTACATAGGTTACTTTGTTCAAAGCACTGCTGCTTAAGAGGATGCTAATAACCATGAAAATTCAGGAGCAAAATGTAAGATCTTTGATCTGCAGTGTCTCTTCCTCATTGCCTTGCTGAACTGCCCATTTGGAGACCTCTGGTGGGGTCTCTGACAAAATTGGTGCAGGCATATTTTTTTATTAGTATTTTTAAATACTTTCAAAAACTGGAGCAAAAATGACATTGGCAGATTACTTCTCTTAGGTCATCTTTTTAATTGAAGTAGCTGACTAAACATGCATACCAGTCCCCAAAAAATAGATAACTAACATTCAGTTGCACACAAATGTAGATTACTTAATATGCAGTTCTGACGTATTCAGAGTCAGATCATGAATAAATATTTGACTACTTGCTAATCAGACAGAAATGACTCTGAACACTGGTTTTGACAGTGTTTTGTCATGCTGCCAGTAGGGGAAAAAAAAAGCAAGACAGCTTTCCAAAACAGTAGGTGTAATACTGTATCTCTGATACATCATTCATGGTGTTTGCTCTGTTAAAGCAGTTGTATAGAGTGGATTATATGTTTTGTCACCAAATGGGAACGGAGAAGGGATTCTGCCTTGATGGCATGCCCATTCTTTCTGTGGGTATAGCAAATGTCATAGGATACTTTTGAGCACTCATAATTTTAGAACAAGCATTAAATCTGCATAAATTTCACAATCTGTGTAAATAGGAAAGAATGTATCTTGTGTTGCTTAGCAATGGCTTAAGTGACAATATGGCTACTACGTGAACTTCTTGCATCTTAATATCTGGACTGAACAATCTCCTTCTTGTTTTTGCCCTTTGAAGGCCCTTTACTGAAGTCAGTAGAGGCTTATGTGCAAAATAGTTGGCAAAAAAGAAGCCTGTTAGAAGAGAATAGACAAGAAGCCCAGGCCTCCCCGGAATTAGTGGCAAAGAGTCACTAGGCGGGTGGGAGCGGGTGTGCGGAGGCCTGTGTATCCACAGCCTTCCAGGTGGTTGTGTGCATCGACTTCCCAACATCACGTTGTAGTGTCAAGTTCCCATGATGGCATGGTACTATCCTGGCAGTGCGATAACTGCAAGTACAGGCCAAGTTCACGTACTGCTATTACCTTGCTATATATGCAGTATTTGGTTGGAACACCAATCTTTGACATGTATGTGATTTACTTGTAAGTAGTCAGCATATCAGTTCTCCATGCTAGAAATGAAAGTATCGCCTCATATCTTGTGTACCTAGAAGGCAAAACTCTGAAATTGAGCGGGATTGGCAAAGCTCCTGAACTTGTTCCTGCAAAGATGAAAAATTGGAAGGAGTTATTCACAAAATTAATTTTGGAAACTGAACTGTTATTTGTTTCTAAAAATACAATGCAGTGTCTTTTTATTGCCAAGAAATTATCGTTGACTCCTATAGCTAGTTCAGGACTGGAATGGGAATATTGTCTATTACTTTTGGTTTTTATTGGGATAATGGTGCTACAAATATTAGGTTAAGAATACAGTAAATAAAATGGTATAAATGCTTATTTTCCTCTGCAGAGAAGCTGGAACTTTTAACAAAATAAAGTTAAAAACAGAAAAATGACCGACAATCCAGGAGTTACTGACTTTTTTTTTTTCCCCCTCCTTCATTTGAGGGTACTCTTGAGCATGGAGCTATCTGTTAATACTGACAAGGGGAGACTTAGTAAATACTTGAAAACTGTTTCTCCTCAACAGTTGCATGTGCTTGAATGTGAAGAGTGAACAGTAGATTTTATAGTAATGTTATGCTATTTGCCTTTTAACATTTAGGATTAGTGATATTCTTGTCAATTAACAATTCTACTGTGTATGCCTCAAATTGCTTTTTTGAAAAGTGAGGTGGTTGTGAATTTTGAAGGCTTCTGTGCAGGTTTTTGAGAGCAGCTAACACTTCTAAATTTTGATATTTTTAAACTTTCTCTCTTAAAGGTAAAGTCAATTTATTTCAAGAGGTGACAATGTTTTTTATTATGAAACTTAATTGCTTTATATGAATATTTGGTTTGCGTAACTTTCCAGCTTGAAACAGTACAAGTAGTTAAAGACAATCACAACTTTTTCTAATTCTTGGCTAAATTGGAGATAAACTAGGTTTTTTTGGTAGGCCTTATAACAGCTCTGCCTGCACAGGTTTGATTGCAAGACAAAAGGCAAAGTGCTTTCCATTGATCATTTCAGCAAGGGCAACAATCTCCCACTCTCCTTTTCTTCCTGTTCTTTCATTCTGAAGCACAGTAGCAGCGAAAGGAAAATATTCAGAAAGCTGCAACTGGGAGCAGGAATTGCTCTGCAGAGACCCAAACTTACAGACCCTGATTGTGCAGACAAAGATACGTAGCTATCGGGAGAACAGTCAGCTTGTCGTGGTCCAAATGGAGCTCTCTGCAAATAGCACTCAAGGTGAAGTGGAATAGGTAATTTAACTTCCCCTTTTGCTGCGCAGGGAAAGCTGTTAAGCCTTACAGCATGTTGCTGGAGGATTTCAAAAGGAGTTTTTCCTATCATTGGGATAGGGAGTGTACTGCATCCTCTACATCAAGGTTTCCATCAGTAGGAAAGTGTCTTGTTGACTTCCACAGGCAACAGATCAGATCCTTAAAACTCTAATATTCCTGGTTTTTAAACTGAGTATTAAAAGCGCTTGCTCACTTAATGTGCAGTGGGCTGAAAGCTTGCAGCATGCAGAAAAATCCGTGGGTGAAGTATGCCAGTGTGGTTACAGTGTCTCTCTCGTAAAATACGAAGAGGCAGCAGCTCACACTGATCCCCCTTTTGCAGCGGAGCTGTGCTCTGCAGGACCAATCAGAAGTTCTTTCTGCGTCTTTTACTGCCTTCTGTTCTTAGACTGCAGTTCTGTCAGTAAGGTAAGGCAATTTTTTTGCTGAGGAAACTGAGAGGGAGGGCAGCAAGCAGTAAGATTCATGCACAGATTTCCCTTCCCCACCTCTCTTGTGCAAGATGCTCTAAACAGCTTCTTTGTTAACAGGGCTAGATGAAACGGTGAGTCCTTGTCCAGCGCCGCTTGCTCAGCATGTCTTGCTCCTTCTGCAGCTTTTCCTTGTTTCACAGACCTTTACAGCAGCTGGTGACTCACCTGTCCCCCCTACTCAGCAGCTGTCCCTTGCCTTATCACCCCAGTGCCGTGAGAGGAGAGACTGCTTGTTGGGTACAGCTCCTTTTGCTCCCATGAATAGCCATCAGCAGTGGCTTCCAAAGCCTGTATGGACGCTGCCCCTGAGGCAACACCAATAGTATCCTCTCCTTGCCTAAGAGCAGATCCTTCTTTGGGTCTCATCCAAGGTCCTCCGGAGCTGATAGAAGGGCTTTCTTGAATTTGGCTGCATTTGAATCGAGCTCTTCCCCTTCTTGTTACTTAACAGCAGGCTCCTTTCCCAGCTAACTCAAAGTGGGTTCTCATGTGGAAAAACTGAAAATCGAGCAAAATCATTGCAGCTCTTTTTTTCCCAGTTTTGTTCCAATGACTGGTATCCTTGTAATTGCAGTTACACTGTAAGCAACTCAGTTGCACACATCTCTTCCAGAAGTTAACTCACAGTCTTGCGTTGATTTATTACTGTGAACATACACAGCCACATGTGAGGAAGGACGTCTGGTGTGCCGTATGTGTAAGAGACATTGTGTGCCAGTCATAGTTCCCCGCGGGTCATGTGTTTTTCAGTGTGGTTAATCACTGACTGTGTCTCTTGTGAAGTTTACTCATTTCTTTGAGTTCTTTCATTTGCTTATAGAAGGGGTTTTCTTAGAGAAGTCTATTTAATATCTGTTTTATTCTTTCTCTTTGAAGAAACCTTTCCATCATAAGATCAGTGATTGCAGCCCTGTGTAGTATTAGCATTAACCCCAAAATTAATAAAACTGGGGTGATGGGAAGTCCTCAAAGTATGAAAATGAGTGTCCTCTCCTCTTCAAGGCTGAAGCTTTGCTCATGATGTTATGAAACTGAACAGCATGTCCCTGTTTATTGGCTTTGAGGTTTTCCTTGCACATGGTAGGTATAGAAATGTAGGCCTCTTTTCCAAGTCTATTTGTGTTAAAGAAACTAAATTTAAAGTGTATTGTTGACATGCAAAGTATTGCTTTTACTGTTGTGTGGAACATGGATGACTTTATATCAGTTTTGGATAATGTGGCTCTTCTAAAATATTTTCAGAGTAGCTCTGAATTGGAACCTAAAGTCAAGTACAACTTGTTAAGAAATACTCTGGGTAATGAATTTTTTATGCATAGTTTCCATCGATCTTACATGACTGAGAGCAAAACGAAATGATGCTTTGATAGGCTTCTGTACATTATTGTGCTGGCAATTGATCTTTGTTGATTTTGCATGTTGTGACTGACTGCTAATTAAATAACTGGGATCAGTGTTTCATTTCAATTTTCTCTTCTCCTGCAGTGTGACAAAATCAAGCAAGAACGAGATGAGGCTGTCAAAAAACTGGAGGAGTTTCAGAAAAGTAAGTTAATAATGTTAGTGGGAATTTTTTGGTATAGAGAGTTATGAACATCACTCTACATACCCAGCAGCAGTGTTAAGAATGCTGAGATTCAGGTCCACTTGCTGTTTCTCCTCCAAAGCCTTGTTTTAAGGAGTTAATCCAGTGAGACTTTGACCATTGTCAGACTAACTGCTGTCACAGCATTTATACGCTCTGACACAGGTAGCCATTCTTAAGGTGCAAAGTGGTGAAAATACAGTGGTACAAATGCAGCTCTATCTCACCTGGATTCTGCAAGTGACTTTTAAAATTATACATGCTTGGATTGAGTGGGATTTGACCCGATTGCTGAGATTGCTAATATTAATACCGATAATAATGGTAGTTTTTTCATGAAGAAGGAGTAAAATTACTTTAAGCATAGACACAACAATAAAGGTTTTTAGGCTGAACTGCTGTCTCTTGATAATTTTTAGAGCAAGTTCTGTCTTGTCTGGGCTGTGAGAATGTCAATATTCAGTTTTACACTTTTATGGTAATGATTCTGTTGAAACTGTATGGTGTCTGGAAGCAACAAAGCACATCTAATGGGAGTGGAAGTATCCTAGTGGAATAGCTCCTTAGAAGAGACAATTACAATAGGATTGTGGTCTGTTATGTCTGGTTTGTGCCAGTATGGTGAACTGCACGAGGAAGCATCAGAAATGTGGATGAAGTTAATGCAGGAGAAGGAAATCACATGGTCTATACTTTTGTGTGACTGTGTTAATAGAGGAATTTGCTCACTTCTGTTTTATAATTGTTCATGTGATACAATTACGGAAAATAATCTAAAATCAACAGGAATCATCTGCTGCCTTAAATGATCTTAGACAACTGTTCTGTGAGGCAAGAATGTTCTCTAAGAAGTCTAATTCCTCTGGAAAAAATTGCAGCCTGTTTTGTTTTTGTTATGATACAAGGAATACCAGAGTGTGGCAGAAAATGTCAAGTAGTTAAGACTTAAAATTTGAAGTAATATTTGATGTTGTAAAATTTTATAGGTTTCTTTTATCTTCCTTTCACATTTTTAAAGGACATACCTTGTAAACATAGTGATAAAATGCCAGGAATATTAGGATTTTAAGGCAATAATAGAGCCCATTATTTAAACGACAATATAAAAGGCAATTATATTGATGAAGAGCTACATCGGCTTTGTGTCTGTGAATAAACTTGGCCTGTACTCAGCTTCTATTTGTTCTCCTGGCATAAACACATATTGTGTGTGATTCCAGTTTAATGGGGCCCCGTTTGTATGCCAAGCAGCTGCATTTTAGGCCCTATTGCGTGATTTCATAGCTCTCTGAAAATTGGTTCTATTGAGCACAAGAGATAGAAGGTGGTGCGGGGGGGAAAGCTTCAACACACAATCATTTCTTTTCAATTGGAGCCAGCAAGGTTGATGACAACATGACCATTGTGTTATAATGATAAGACCACTAAGGATCTGTACCTCTCATCAAGGCTTTCACACAACAGCAGATACAATTTAATTCACTGCTCTGTCAGCAGTGCTGATACCATTATGCCGTCTGTCTCCACAGTTATAATCACTGTCCTCCGAGAAATGCAGTTGAAATGATCTTGAGCAGTCAAAGAAACTCTCAATTAAGGCTGCCACTTCCAATGTGTCAAATTGTGTCTTATGCACTTGGTACAATTTTCACTTCCAATCCTGTTTATTTACAATGTCTACCAGTAATTACGCTTAACATGTCATTTAGTGAGGGTGCCCCTGCCAAGGAGATTGTTGGGTGCTGCAGTACCATTGAGTGGGAGTTTCTCGCAGTCAATGCCATCAGCGGCTTTTAGTCCCTGATGGGATGCAGTAGTAATGTTGATAATGCAAGTATCGTGCTCATCAAGTCATAATTAGATGCCACTCAAATGTGCCACTTGTAATAACAGTGTTGATTCATGTTTTCTCGGTGACTGCAACTACTAATTAGTTAAGTGGTTTTTGGTTGGCCTGCATTTGCTGTGGATTATTATTACCCCTGAAAAAAACTGTCAAGGTTAGAGATGTTTCAGGCCACTTAGTGCTGCTTTATGAATTTTAATATTGACATAATAAGAACTTTGGACAGACTTAGGAAATAATATATTTTTGTATTTAATTTGGAAAGATTTTTTTTCCCCTGAGTTAATCATAATTGCAGGTTAATTAAGTTTAAATGAACCAAGAGTAATCCCTAGTTCTACCATGTGAGCCCAGTCCTTGTTTCCTAACTTTAGCCTTGCTTGAAGCCATTAGATTCCTAAATGGGAGTAGCTCTGTATCTCCACTGCTCCCTCATCCTGCCCAAAGCATTTCGTTACTCCAAATTCCAGAGCTAGGCAGAACAAAAACAGAAGAGATATGGACATGTACTTACCTGAAGCTTTTCCTCTCTCAAATTAAATGTAGCAGCTGCTATGGCACGCTTGGAGCAGATAATCTCTCCAAAGCCAGAAAAAATGGAAATAAAAAGACAACCAAAGAAAGATGTGTGGTTGCTCTGCTGTTAGAAGACTTCATGTGAATATAGTTTTTGGACCAAGATTTCCCAATACTCTGCCCTGCTCTTCTTTTTTTGGCTGCTCATATTTTATAGAACTTTTCTTGCATGCAGCTACTGATTTGACAGCAAACTCCAATGTATTGCTGGTTTCCTATGTTATTAATGAAAATGTTAGTTAATATTGACTAAGTATCAATAAAGCTGCATAAATAACACTTGTTAACAGCCTGCTTTTTCCTGTCCTGAAGTCCTGTTTTGTAGTCGTTAAGATGACCTCTGGATATCAAAGAGAACTAAGTATTTCTCCTCAGTTTTTAGGCAAAAGTCTTGGAAGAGGGCAGGCCAGACTTTCTACCCAGTGGTATGAAATCACTAGTTTTTAAAGCTTATCTTCATGAAAATGAAAGGAGATACTAGAAAAAGTCCTCCGTATTTACACTATATTCTTCCAGCCTTGTTCCTGCTCCAAAGTATTGTTCAGCTGCGAATAGTCCTTTCTGCATGTTGAAATTCTGACACTGGGCTGAAAAGGAATCTGCGCCATGAAATGACTTGCAGAATTAGGATCCAGGCTGCTGCTTAGGATGAACAAGGGTGCCAGGAGCCAAGGAGGAGTTGCGTCAATGAGCAAGGTGCTAGCCTGAGAAATGGGAAACTATTGTTGAGTTTCCTGCTTTGCTCCAGATCCCCTGTGCGACTTGAAGCTTGTCACTTAGAAGATGGCTTTCAATGCTGGTTAAGTACCTGTGTACTGCTGGAAGTTGAAAGCAATTGCAAGCCAAAATGCACCTGTGCTTTTAAATGTCCTCTAACTCGCATTGGTATCCTATGTTACAAAATAAGATTTGTTCCATAACTTTCTGGTCACTCTAGGAATATTGCATGTCTTCAATATAGTGATGTGTACCCACTGCGGTAATAGGGATCTTGTAAGTGCAAAGGACAGATGTCTCTTGCTCTTCCAGCTGTGACACCAAATACAGTAGCACAGACATGTATTTCGGAAGCAGTCAGGCAGCCCACTCTTGGCCCTGGTCTCATGGAAGATTGTGTGTGTCCATGTGTGCATGCTGGTGTCTGAATCCGTGTAGGACTGTGAAGGCAGGGTTTGGGCACACTGCTTATTTTAGGGCATGCTCAAGCACAGAGAGACTTCAAATAAGAAACATTTCAGATATTACAGCCATATAGTAATACAGAACTTGTGTTGTTCAGCTGAGGTTGTCAAAAATCCGGCAGTGCAAGCAGTGCTGAGTTTCCATCAGGACTGCATCCATTGGGTGTATCCCAGCTGCTGCATCTAGCGTCAAAGCTGATGGGGCAGAACCAGAAGAGGGAACTGTGCTGTGCTAATGATTTGACTTCAGTGAAGTATGTGCTGTAGGAGGCACTACAAATATGGAGGCTTTGGTCACTTAACTCCTTTCTCCATTGCCTAGTAAACTTGCCCCAGGCCTGTGCTATATGTCCCTCCTGCAGCTCTTGTACAATGTGTTTAGCAAGTGTGATGATAGTTAAAATACCATATAAACCTGAAGACCGTGAAAATAATCTTTGTAAGACACCTGAGTTAATCTTGCTGTGTAAAAAGTATCGAGGTTCCAGTCTTCTGAAAATGGCATCCATACCAAATTTTCAAGAGGATTATGATGGCAATCTGAAGGGACAATCCTAGTGGTCTGACTCTGATTTCCCAGTGTTAATGAAATAAAGATGGCAAATGATGATTTTCAGGGAGGTTCCTGCTGGCTTTCTACTTCCGTGAGTTTATGCTCAGTTCTGCAGTTCCCCCTCTAATGCTGCAGGCGTGGCTTGAGAGAGTTGCTTAAAGCAATGAACCAGATATTCAGTGTTCAAAATGGTTCCTATCCATGGAGATTATCAAAGTACGTACTTCCCTGTATTTGAAATGCTTACATAGAAAGTTAACAGAAAAAGATGTAATGTTTCTGATCATGGGATGCATGTGTCAAATGCAGGAAAATACTGACTAATTTTTAAACTCTTCCCCTAGTTTCTCACATGGTTATTGAGGAAGTAAACTGTATTCAGAACCATCTTGAAATTGAGAAGACGTGCCGTGAAAGTGCTGAGGCTTTGGCTTCTAAGGTGAGGAGAATTATGGTGATTCTGTTTCATCTGATTACTTTTTTATTTTTTTGACTTGAGATTGTATACATGTCCCATATACGTTTTCATATAATCTTGCAGATCTGTGAAATTGTTTTGAAGTGGCAAAAACTATAAGCCATATGTGAGATGCAAAACACAATTCCTTCCTTTAAAGAAAAAAATACCCGTTTTAATTTAGTTTCTATTTTGGAACAGTAAGTCATGGACCAGCATCTTGATATCTAGTTTTTATGCGCATTTAGGTTAAACGGAAAACAAGTTTTAGAACTGTCCTGTGTGAGATATAAAACAGTAATGAGCATTTCGGTGTCTAAATCAAATGGAAAAAGTCAACCACTGCATTACATTTCAGGTGATTGTTTATGAAAGCAAACTGAGGGCAGGGGAAAGGTGACCTCCGCTGCTCTGTTGATTGCGTCTAGTCTGATGAATTTAGCAAGTGTGTAATTTTCTATATTCCATCTCATCAGAAGTGCATTATTATTAAAGAATGTTTTTATCTCTCTGTTATATATTTTTGGTTGTGTAAAATGCATCTGAGACACTTCATCAGAAAATGGATTACAGCAATTTTGAACCAAATTTCATTAGCAATGCTGACTGCCTTTTTTTTTTCTCCCCCCCGCCCCCCCAATCCCCCATTCCCTCCCCAAAGTACGTCCTTAGATATGGTAAAAATCACAGCAGCAAGAAATCACTTTAATTTAGATGCATTAGTAATGTACTTTCTGGAGGTATTTACTTAATTGTTTGCATAATGACACTATATTAGAATTCATAAGATAGACAATCAGCATATAAGTAAGAAAGTGAACATATTTATGCAACTTTTCTTCTTCTCTGCACTTTTCCTGTAGTGCACATACAGGGGCAGTTCAAAGACTAGCTTTACCCCATGGGGCTGCTTTGCCAAAGCTGATTTGTTTGTTGCTGTGAGCTG